CAATGATAAATGACATCAAATACCTTGTTCACAATACTTCCATTGTACCAGAAATACTGTATAATGGAATGGTGAAATGTAAAAATAGAACATGTAAATTTTGAACAAGGTTTAAGAGAGCAAGTGTATGGTTAGTTGGTTCAGTTTGTTCATTCATAGTTTCATAGTAAATTGATATCAGTAAAATTAAATATTAAAAAACTGTAATAAACGTATAATGATTCCATCATAAAAATCAATAACTAGATTTAATAATTATATAGTGAGTGAAAACCAATTAAAAATTATAATAAATCAAACAAAAATGTCATCTTCCTCCTCCTCCTCCTTCTGCTGCTGTGAGACACTGTTCATTAGGTAGTAGTGTCCTTGCAATCTCATCAACTCCTCGTGAGTTCCCTGCTCCACAACACTTCCCTCATGAAGGACAGCAATAGAATCAGCTTCATATATCGTAGACAGTCGGTGAGCTATGATAATGGTAGTACGACCTCGTCTTGCTTTATCAAGAGCTTCTTGAACCACTTTCTCATTTTCAGAGTCAAGAGCTGACGTTGCTTCGTCTAGGAGGAGGATTTTAGGGTCTCTAATTAAAGCACGGGCAATGGCTACTCGCTGCTTCTCTCCGCCACTTAGTTGAGTGCCTCTACTACCAACCATAGTCTGGTAACCCTATAATAATCAATTCTTAATATGTGATGCATCAAATTAGAAAAACTATAGTAGTTTGATAGTCTCTCTTAATGGACACTCTCTATAGCGTACACCTCCATTTAACGGACAGCACCTAGTGTACTAATTACATTCCTTACTGTATAAATTAACCTCCACATAAAGGACACCTCTGTATAACAGAGACACTTTCAGTGTCCATTATATAGAGGCTAGTCTGTATACATGTACATGTACCACATAATTCATTAAACTCACATGAGGCAGTGACATAATGAACTCGTGAATATTAGCAACTTTAGCCACTTCTATGACTTCCTCTTCAGTAATGTCATTTCTAAATAAAGCCCCATAACGAATGTTATCAGAAATAGACATGTCAAATAAAACTGGGTCCTGAGGTACTAGACTCATCTGTCTCCGGAGAGATGAGATCTCAAAAATATTGATATTGATATTGTTGAATTCTATTGTTCCCGAATCAGGATCAGGATCATAGAATCTCTCGGCAAGTGACAGTATGGTGCTCTTTCCTGATCCGCTTGGTCCTACTATGCCGAGAGTCTTTCCTGGTTTAACGGTGAGACTCAGGCCTGGTAGTACCACCACACCAGGACGAGACGAGTAAGAGAAATGAATGTCGTCTAATGCAAGCTTAGCATAATCTTCTTGAAACTACAATATTAAAATAATAATCAAATCAATATTGGATTTTTAATGAATTTTTAAAATTGCTCCAAAATCAGGTCAATGTCCTTGTACAGTGACATTGGCCATATTTTGCCAAAAATGAAAAGAGAGAATTTTGCATTTTAATAATTTTTTTCTGATGCATATATGTGTACTTATGTTGTGTAGAAAGTTTGAGCTGATTCCAATCAAAATTGGATTTTTTAATGAATTTTTTAAGTTGCTAAAATCTGTGCCTTAATACTACCATGTATAAATCAGCTAGGCAACAATGCTAATGATGTACATGTATACATACTTTTGTGGCGATATCCACTCCTTGATTAGGCATGTTAATGGAGGGTTTTTCCTCCAGCAGTGCTAGTATTCTTGAAGCTGCTATTTGTGCTGACTGGGTATCAGGCAGGGAGCGAATGAGCTCCTTAAACAACCAGCCAGCATATAGCATTGCACCAATAGCTCTGGAGGAGAAAGAAATAATTTCAGTCTATACTTTTAATTAGGTGCACTGATGTTATTGTTTTTAATATAGTGAGAAATTGGCTCTATTTTAAAAGTCTCTAAAAATTCATTCAAATTAGTACTAAAAGTGGGTTTGGAGTACATGTATACGTATTTTAAAGTTAACTCTCCCTCTCTCTTTTACTTAAATATGTCACTAATGTCAGCATAATAGACAGTGTCAGGAGAAGTGTAAGCATAAGCTCCAATGATCATTCCTCCTGAGAGTACAAAAGTAGCACAAGATTGAGCCAGGGAAAATAATAAAGACTGGATAATGGCACCTTGAATATCATAACTGAGAGAGAGAGAAAAAAACAGCAAATATATTATAAATGTATACATCACATGCTCATTAATTTAGACTGAGGAACATTTCAGGGCCATTTTTTGAAAAAAATCATGGGCTATAGCCTTGGGTATTTTTCAGATTTTGGCTCATTTTTTAAAATGGCCGTAACTCGAAAAATTGAAGTCGGAATCAGCTCAAACTTTCTACGTAGCATAAGGACATCAATACGTATCAGAAAATGTAATAAAAATGGGGGGTGATTTTGGAGCCATTTTTTGGAAAAAATCATGGGCTATAGCCTTGGGTATTTTTCAGATTTTGGCTCATTTTTTAAAATGGCCGTAACTTGAAAAATTGAAGTCGGAATCAGCTCAAAATTTCTATATAGCATAAGGACATCAATATATATCAGAAAATGTAATAAAAATTGGGGGTGATTTCGGAGCCATTTTTTTTCGAAAAAACCATGGGCTATAGCCTTGCATAATTTTTCTGAAAATTTGCTAATTAAAAAAATCCAAATATTCTTTCTTTCTTTCTCGGTCTCTTACTGATATGCTGGTTTAAGCTGGTCCTTGTACTTCTGTAACAATCTCTTCTCAATACCAAGTGATATTATTGTATAAACATTATCAATAGCTTCAATGGCAGTCTTCAGACTCCTCCCCTGATGCTCCAGACTCTTCAACACAAACAGGTTAGTGAGCGTCAGCTGTAGAAATCCGACTAAAATAAATATTACTAACGTTGTTAATGACGCTAGCCCCATAGGCCATGAAAAGGTAAATATGATGATGTAATTAGTTATAAGATTGATAATACCACGGACAGTAATACCTAATGAAAAACCAGTGGCCTGTAGAGAGAGAGAGAGAGGGAGAAAGGAGAGGTTCATTTGTCAATATTTATTTACAATTGTTTGTTTTCAAACCATAATATTACTCAAGGGACTTTGTGTCAACAAAAATGACAAACATTTGCAACAATAGTGAGAAAGTATTATGTAACTCTAACACTCCCTCTCACACCCACCACCTCAATCACTCCTTTAAATGTACATTCCATTTAGTTACATGTAGTTACCATGAACACAGCAATAATTAACAGTTCAAACAAACAAAATTTAGCTCCATGTACTATTGTTACTAAATTTTTTTTATTAAAATGGACCTTTTAGATACTAAAACACAAACCAGTACTTTTATTAAAATTTTGAGAAAGACAGTACATTATTAATCTTACTTGATTAACTTCAGTGGTGTCAATCGCTAGTCGTCCTGTTAATATACTCACTGAGTTCTGTGGTTCATCAAAGAAGGACATGTCTTGCTTCATAATCGTCTCAAATGACTTCTGCCTTAATCTAGTGGTGAGTCTATCAGCAGCAATACACAGTGAATAGGTCTAATAAATGATAATAATAGTAATAATAATAATAATAATAATAATGTCGTTATATTATTAAAAAGTGCTGCTTACAGCTACAAAGTTAATGATAAGTCCAACAAACCCAACCACAGCATAAAGGATTGAATATAGTCGAGCTTGTTTAATGACCTCATCTCTATCTATGTTACTGAATATCTAAAAAAAGATCAAAAAATGAATAAAGTACAGAAAGATATACACCATCAGTTACACCTACATGTGTACATGTACATGTAATTATACTAAATCAAAATTTAAAATGAATTGTAGTCACCTCTACTGCTTCACTGAAGAGAACATAAAGAGCTGACAAGAGGACACCAAAGAGAGCGAAACCAGCCAGTCCGGTTAACAAAAGCCACCAATCCGGTTTACTTAGTTGGAGCATCTTTCTCCATGGAGCTTTTGTAATGACGTTCTCTTTTTCAGCTGCTTCTCTCTCGGCAGCAATAGCCTGGAATATAGGAGAAGGAAATAATTAATAAATGTAGTACACAGTAATAGTACTAGTATAAAAGGATGTATTAAATGTACATGTACATGTACATACACTGTATAATCATATACTAATTATTATCATTATTATTGTTATTATTATTATTATTATTCTTTTATTTATTTTTAATTGTCAAATGTAAAACAAATGAAGCACAAAGCATCAGAAGAATCCATAATAATGATAACAACAACAACAATAATAAATAAATTAAACATCTTCACAGCTCACCTCTTCCCGATCAAGTTCAAAGATATTATGAGGTGAGAATTTCGGAGTCTTTGGAGTAGGCGGTGGGATACTCATATCACTCATAACCCGCATCAAAGCATAATCCGTTGGTTTTCTGGTAAAGGTTCTTCCTTGTTGGGCCATCTGTTTCGCCGAAGGAGCACGAGATCTTCTAATAGTAGTGGGAGGGGCTTGAGAGAGAGTTGAGAATGTTTGCGGTACATGTGCGTGTAGTGTTACTCCTGCCCCTCCTCCTCCTACCCCGCCCCCTGTCGACGGGATCTGCTGTCGATTGAAGGAAACTCTCTTCTTCACAGACTGACGGTAAAAGTTGGCGAATTCTGTTTCGTTAGCTAAAAAAATTAAGAAATAATAAATTATTAGTATTAATGTCAGTATAATATATGCAAGTATACTGAGATAAACAAAGATATACAAGAATATACTATGCACGGTACATGTATTAATAGAGCCATACCTTTCTTTCCAAGAGTTTGTTTCTGTACCAGTTTATAATAAAGACCTTTTCTCTCCATAAGGCGAGAGTGAGACCCCATTTCAACAATCTTTCCTTTCTCCATAGCCACTATGACATCAGCCGACTGTATTGTGGATAATCGGTGAGCAATGATTACTGTAGTACGACCAATCCTAGCTCGGTCAAGAGCAGCTTGCACCTCCTTCTCATTCTCAGAGTCAAGAGCTGACGTTGCTTCATCAAGGAGGAGTATTTTAGGGTTTCTAATTAAAGCCCGAGCTATGGCTACTCGCTGTTTTTCTCCACCACTCAATTGAGCTCCTCCATCGCCGACTAAAGTGTTGAAACCTTCTGGTAAGTTGCTGATGAATTCGTATGCATTTGCAGCTCTTGCTGCTTCTTCGATTTGCATGGGCGTGGCTCCAGCTTTCCCGTAGCTGATGTTTTCACCTATTGACACGTTGAAGAGGAGTGGCTCCTGTGAAACCACACCCACCTGTCTCCTTAACCAGCCAATACTCAAGTCCTTTATATCAACGTCATCAATAGTGACCTAATGATTTAATAGAATTATGATTATCAATAAAGTGGCTAATATACTCATTACATTAATATGTGCACATGCATGCATGGCTGACAAATTTTGGAGCAATTTTTAAAATTCGTAAAAATACAATTTTGATCGGAATAAGCTCAAACTTTCTACACAACATAAGAACATGTATATGCATCAGAAAATATTATTAAAATGGAAAATTCTCTACTTTTCATTTTTAGCGAAATTTGGCCAACGCCCCTGTACTATAGTACAGGGACTTTGACCCAATTTTGGAGCAGATTCAAAAATTCACAAAAAATTCAATTTTGATTGGAATCAGCTCAAACTTTCTAGGCAACATAAAAACATGTATATGCATCAGAAAATATTATAAATCCTCTCCTATCACATGTATCTATACCTTTCCCCCAGTATGCATGTAGAGTCTCTGCATCACGTGCAGTAGAGTGCTCTTGCCACACCCACTAGGACCAACCAGCCCTATGGTTTGACCAGCTTTTATGTGAAGGTCAATTCCGTTAAGAATTGAGACCCCAGGCCTTGAAGGGTAACTGAACGTAACGTTGGTCATCTTTACGTTGCCTTGGACATTTTTTAGACAGAATTCACCTTTTGATTTGGCTTGATTCGGTAACTGAGATAAAAAATATTTAGGAGAGAGAGAGAGAGCGAGCGAGAGAGAGAGGAGAGAAAGAGAGAGAGAGAGAGAGAGAGAGAGAGAGGGAGGGAGGGAGGGAGAGAGAGAGAAAGCTAATTATACCCAAGACTATACAAACAATAAGTTTACTTGATCAATGGTGGGATACAGTCCCTTAGCAGCTGCCACTGCGTCCATCACTGATATAAACAAAGGAAGAGCATTGCTAATGTTAAAACTAATGCCAGCAATCTCGAGGATAACCTAAAATAGAGAGAGAGGGGGAGAGAAAGGAAGAGAGAGAGAGAGGGAGAGGGGGAGGGAAAGGAAGAGAGAGATAATAAGGAGAAGGGAGTAGAGGAAGGAAGTTTAAATAAGGATTATATTGTCCCTATAAAGAAGAATGTGCTTATTTCCTTACAGTAACAATAGTTCCTCCAGTAATGTCACAATCAACCAGTATCTCTACCCCATACCTTGAATAGAAAAATAATAAACATCCCATACAAGTTCATAATTATTATTATTAAAGTATAAACTATAGGAACGACATTAAATCATCTTTACACAATGTACATGTACAGGCATAGCAGTACATGTACAGTACCGCTCAGCTATAACTTCACTTATCGTGTACATGACAGCTAGTAGTGCAGCTTCTCTATACACTCTGGAGATCACACATATAAAAGTAAAGTTATAGCTGAGCGGTACTGTAGATAATGTTATTGGAGTATTATTAATATATGATATTCAATGTACATGTATGTGTACATGTATTAAAAATGTTTTTTATTATTTTTAAGAAGATATAACAAATAAAATAAATAATAACAAACGAATGATAATAGTAATGATAATAATAATAATACAATGAGTGTATTTTTGATGACAATTACACAACAAAAAATAAATGAATATTCCAATTATAAGAAAAGCAGTTACATGTACATCAGCTACAGCTCTTACACCATGTAAAAGTATTTTATTCACTAATCAAATTATCCTCAACCAAATTTTTGAAATTTTAAAAATGCACGAACATGATGCAGCCTTGTAGTAATGCAATGATATTGATATTTGTACACAGAAATTATAGAAAATTAATTATTTCCCAAGAAAAGGCAACTATGTAAGGATCATACAGGAACAATGTAGTTCATCAATATAAACACAATGTGGAACATTATCTATTGATAAAGCTTATACAGTACAAAATCATATCACTGTTCATCAATGATGCGTAAACATGTGTATATCACATCATAATATCATATTACCTGCATCATACATGTACAGTATAATGTAGTGACCAGTGTGTGTGTGTGTGTGTGTGTGTGTGTGTGTGTGTGTGTGTGTGTGTGTGTGTGTGTGTCTGGAGGTGAGTATCAGTAATGTAATACCTGAGTCCCTTGATATCTGCCCTCAGCTTCACCTCAAGCAGATATCTCAGTCCTCAGGTATTACATTACTTATACCCACACCTTGAAATACACTCGACTACTAAATGCATATATGTACATGTACATGAAATTGTATATTAATTACTCATTAACATACCAGATTCCTAAAGCATAGAATGCAAAGAAGATCATGCCATAGAAGCCAGATATAAAAGCAACAGTCATCTGCTTCTTGTAAGATTCTACTTTAGCTTTCTTTAGCAGTGAAGTGTACCTTTGATTGAAAGAGTTATTTACACAAAATACTATTACAAAGATACTATTAACTTTACAAATATATAATTGCATACAAATAGACTATTGACAAATATAAATGTACTATTAATGTTACAAATATAATATCACGTGCATATATAGGGTGGAGGTATTTTAATTAGGATTATGTGATTGCTGAAGAGTAACTTATTTCAAAATTGGAGCTTATTAGTTTAAAATGTACCTGTACAAGGAATCAACATACCTCTCTGTTTCTTTCTTCTCTCCCCCAAATGCCATCACTGTCCTAATGGCTGTCAGGACTTCTTCAGCTACACTACCAGCCTGAGCTAAAGCAGTTTGTTCTTTACTGGAGACGTATATGGACACCTAAAATTAAGAGGAGAGAAAGAGAGATTCAGTTACATTATCATCATCATCATTATAAACAAAAATAAGAACACATGTAACAGGTTAAAATAGGTTTAGAAAATTATTATTATTATTGTTATTATTGTTATTATTATAATACAGTCCTTGTTACCTTTCCAACTGCAAAGGTGACAATCACGAGAAGTGGTAGGAATATTGAGATGGCGAGGGCTAGTCTGTAGTTGAGGGCAAGAGCTATGACGAAGCCAAATATGAGGGCAGTGGCTTCTTGTATGAAACTGCCGAAATTCTGACCAATACCATCCTCAAACTTATTAACATCACTATGAAGAGAGAGGGGGGAGAGAGAGGGGAGAGAGAGGAGAGAGAGAGAGAGAGAGGGGGGGGAGAGAGAGAGGAAGAGAAGAATTAGAAGAGTAATAAAGAGACTATGAGTCAGACAGGAAAGGTGACCACACTTTTGAAAACCATATCACACACATAACACGAAATGCAATTAATGCAACATACATCAACAGATCAAACCCAGTCACAACAAGAATTAACACAGCAACATGTACCATGAACACAATCATGCATGTACATGTACATGCACGTACACACAATTACATATTTGCCAATTTGCCACAAGGCCTCTTACTCTGCTAATCTTGAGGGAAGCTCTGAAGGAGGATGGAGGTCATAATGTCCAACCTCTTGATTCAAAACAGCACTGAGAAAAGCAGTCCTTAGCCTCCTAGTCTGATTTAGGGCGGCAATACTCCACAGTATATTGGAAAGGAGAGAAGCAGCAAATAGTCCAGCACCAATTGCAATCCCATAATAAGCTAAAGTAGTGACCCTGCTCCTTAGCAGCTGGGCTGGGTCATTTGAATTTACATAGTCCGGATAGAGGTCTGCTAAATTACAGAAGTATGTTGTGTTTGGCGGGATGGGCTCAGGAGGAGAGATGATGGTGTATCCGTTGAATTCGTTGATGACGGAACCAAGGACTAGGAATGTGAATGGGAGGGATGAGCCAGCAAGTATGGCCATTATAAGACCGACTATAATGTAGAGGAGATCTAAACGTGAAGCAAAACGAAACTAGAGAGAGAGAGGGGGGGAGAGAGAGAGAGAGAGAGAGAGAGAGAGAGAGGGGGACAAGGTGAGAGAGAGAGAGAGGAAGAAGAGAAGGATGAGAGAGAGAGTAAGATAGAGACCTCAGATAATGAGGTCGTGTCAACTTTAAAGATAATGAGTATTTCTAAACCAAATACTATAAACACTATAAACAGAAGTACCTAAACTGCTACATGTATATCTATACTTGAGTATTACATGTACAATACACGTGTATTGCATGTACATGTATGCACACACAGCAATGAATCAGTAGAATTGACATCATTTGCAAGTACCAGTAATGAAGTCAGAAGGCCACAGTGCATCAATAAATTAATTTAAACTCTTTCTTGCAAGTTGTTGCTACAAATAACATTTACTTACATAAATTTACTTAGTTCTATGATAATCATGAAATAAAAAGTGTCACAGAATAATTATCACAATAACAAGGGAAACACGGAGACAAGTTTGGAGATGATAATTTTTAGTATTGCAAAAAAATTAACAGACTTTCGACAAACTTTAGCTTATAACAGTTTATCTTAGAAGAACACTTTATTTGGGCAATAATTCCAAGCAGAATTACTTGGAAAGTTATAAAGGAGTAATCACTGTACGGGTTACAGCACATGGGCCTTAAATGGGTGGCTAAACTTCGGCAAAATTTCCATCTCAAAATAAAATTGGAAATTACCAAAGTCACTAAAGCAGAGTATAAACTGATCATCGCATCATTAATTTCAAGGATCGTTAAATGTGATTGACTAATATAACGCGACACATTCTTTACATGTACTTTTGTACATTGCACAACTATCATCTATTAAACACAAAAGATTTTAATACAAGGCCAACTCAATGCAGGCCTTGTTGACAAGCAGTGAAAAACACGTTACTACAAACTCATATTAATTACCTGTAATTTACATGTAGCGGGTAATTTTCACATTAACTTACTAAATTCCAAGGTGAGACTTTCTTATGGTTAAGGTCATCGTGACCAGAACCAGAGCCATCGCCAACTATAACTGTAAGTGGCTGCTCTTCGTTCTTTGGCTCAGAGCCTCTTGGCTCTTTGTCCTGGGCATTTGCAAAACTTGCAGCAGGTGTGTTTCCATTTTCACGACCATCTCTTGGTAAAGTGCTGGATGGATTACTATTAAAAAATATACAACAAAGTTAAAATTATTTGGTTGCAAGTAGACTGTCTTTAGACGAGAAAAGAGCGAGGAACAAGGCAGAGAAAGAATGCTTTTAGCTCTTGCTCTTCGCCCACCCACCTTTCATCCGACTCCTCTATTATAGCGTCGTATGAAGGAGCAACAGACGTAGACATTGCTTGATATTGCTGGGCCAGAGGGAGCTAATCTTTGTTTTCTTCTCTCCCCTGCTTAAGAGTGACTGTGGAATGTCAACAGGCTGCAAGGAGAGGATAGAAAGGAAGAGGAGTGGAGTGCCCATTCCTGACATTTTTGTCAATAACACCACGTGACGGAGTGTGAACGGATAATTTCCCAACACCACGCCCACAACAAATCACCACGTGTTTTCCGTACATTTCCGGACATAAATGAGTCACAGGTCACGCCCATTATAGTAGGCGTGGCCTGATACGCGTAGGAGTATTCACATTTTGACTTGAGCTTCTCCCAGTTGTTGATCATCATACATGTAGGCACTTATAAATGTTGTAGAGGGGCTATGGCGAATATTTTCTGCTGGAGAAACCTAAGACAGGGCCGCTGCTTAGTTCTCCTCTTTGGCTACGCATTGGGGATCGTCTTAGGATGCGCTATCACTCTCACTTTCGACTTTCGACACGTTGAGCCAGCCAGTGCTGTCAACGTCAAAAGAGAGCTAATACCACTGGTTAGTGAGAGAATCCCTAGTATTTATCCTTACACACACCTCATGTAAAGTTTGGAGGAGAGGGAGAGAGTGAGAGAGGTGAGCTCTGGGGTATTTTGGAAAGTGGGGGAGATGGAGGCCAATTGTGTAAACTGTCTTTTTGTACATGTATAACGTGACAGAGGTGGTCGTTTTTTGCTTTCAATTTGAAAATCAAAATGATGTAAGGGCCCGACTTAACACTTCTGGTGTACCTTTAGCCGTTGAATACCAGCCATCAATGGAAGTCTTATTCATGTACATGTATGTGTACGTATTTGTGTATATATGATTTAAATTCGACGTTCGACGTATGTATTATAATAAGGTTATTACAAAGCGCCTTGTGCGTGACCATATGACTGTACAATATTTATAGTATCGCCTTTTCTAATCTAATTTTTTCGTTTTACGAAACTAAATTGGTTCTAATTGATGACAGCTATAAATTAGTGTTACCTATCCTTTGTGATAAATGTGATAAGATGTATGTATATGTACATGTACATGTACACATACAGTTGTTTATTTACATGTACATGTACTGGTATACATGTAGTTGGTAGAATCACTCTGATAATGAGTGGTTGGTTTTGGATCACTGCTCCTAATTAATGATCATTACTGTAACGAGTTTCTGCTAACAATAAAGATGACTTGTTGGAATTTTCGGTGATTCTGTGGTTCCATGAAGAAATAACCAACCTAAAATCCACCATTTTCTTTAATCTCGATGACACAAGGCACAAGAATGAATTATCAATGAATATAGGATTAAACAAAATTTGCCAAACAATACCTTCTGCCAATGATGGCATGCAGTTATATAGCTGCTCCCCTTAGGCCAGTAGGCAGGATAGTGTGGTACATGTACATGTACATGTACAAATGCAGCTGCACTGTATCAGTAATCTATAGTAGCCTAGACACCAACAGGTGACATCACAATAATCCTTAATTGAAATATGAATTGGCACTATGACTAAGCTGCTAATAGTAGCAGTGGGTAGCAGCCTTGACTCACATGTATTGTTGAATAGTTGCTTTGTCTTGTTCTTGAAAATACATGTACATGTACAAAGAGCATGTACAAAGAGCTAATGTTTCAATTATCTTCCTTTTAATTCTATGATGTCTATAAATCGTTAATTTCATCAAAAACTTAATCACAACAGGAGCTGTGCATGTATAGTCATGTGCTAAGCATGTGATGTGTTGATTTCCTAGAATTCCTTAAATATTCATTACCTACATGTACATGTTACTTACTATTACATGTACTATTATTACATGTACATGTACATGTATACAGTAGTTTCCTCAGTTTACTTATTGTGTGATTGTGTGATTGGGTGTAGTTCATGTACTGTATATTGTGTTGGTGAATGGTGACATGTGTTTGGTGTGTTCTTGACATTCAACTCGTGTTTATGTTTATGGTTTTAGCTATAGTCCCCGCTACAGTTTCACTTCTCTCCTTCTCTTTTATTTGTTCTCTCTCTCTCTCTCTCTCTCTCTCCCTCTCTCTCCCTCCCTCTCTCTCTCTCCCTCTCTCTCTCTCTCTCTCCCTCTCTCTCTCTCTCTCTCCCTCTCTCTCTCTCTCTCTTTCCTTCTCTAGTCTAATGATGAAGTAATAGACTCCACTCATTCCCCTTCTCATCATCGCCTCAGAGCTGAAGCTCCCCACGTCCCAGCCTCTCACGGGATCCATTCGATCAGCGAACACCACCTAAAGAATCTACTCTACGTTGGAGTCCTCCCCACAGACGATATAAAACTAAGCATAGACTCCATCTCCCACACCTGGGGACAGACTGTATCAAAACTTGCGATATTTCTCCCAAAGGATACCCAAGTCGAATCCGGTTCCGATAATACTCAAATATTGAAGGTTTTGGAACCATCCGGGGACGCCCTTGGGCCTCCAATGTGGCCGAGCGTTCTCAACGTTATCGAATACATTTATGATAATCACCGCTCGCAGTACAAATGGTTCCTGCTAAGTTCTGAGAGAGTCTACGTTAATATCTACGCTTTGCATGAGATCTCTGATAACGCTGGCCCTCGTGACATTGTGTACACTGGCCACATGTCGCTGGAGGCTGGAGAAACTCCGTCGCATTATTGCAAGAGTGACGCTGGGGTCTTGCTCAGTCAGGAAGGATTGGTAAAGCTGGGTAGCAAATTGAAGGATTGTGCTAAGATGAATAGTGATCCGTCATGGGATTCGTGGCTAGGGAAGTGTATCAACCAGACGCTGGGTTTATCCTGTTTTAAAATATTTTCAAAAGTAAGAGAAAGAAAGGAAGGAAGTTTGTGGTTCTACACTTATACACGTACATTTAGTGATAGTAAAAACTAGTACAGCATGTGTTGTACATGTACATGTACTTGTGTATTTTAGGTAGTTTAAGCTACATGTAAAATTGTATTTGTACATGTACTGTGTAATGTTCACGCTGTTTTGAAACAGGATAAATGTACATGTATGTTTCGGTATTTTCATTTTGATGGCGTGTGCGTGTGTGTGTGTGTGTTATTATCAGCCATCTGTACTAGCTTAACTGTTTTGACTACCTTGTACATGTACATGTGCATCTAATGTATGTTAGTCATGTACTTGTACATGTACAGTGCATGTCATCTTAGTTCCAAATTTTGTTTAATTGTCCCTTTTCTTCCTTTTTCTCCCTCCAGCACTTTGTTGTCGACAAGTTAAGAACCTCTAGGTCGCCGGACGAGCTTTGGAAACCGAACTCAATTTTCTCAAAGGCTCTTTCAATCTTTCCCGTAGTCAGCTCCGAGCACATGTACACGTTACATTACTACTACTCGTCCATAGAACTGAAGCGCTCGATGGATCGAGTGTCGTACTTTAACAGTCTAATGAGCGACACATGCCAAGAGCTGCCTCAAAATATCCTACAGACTGACGTGGTCCAAAGCGACTGCTCGGCCGTCATTCCGGATGAGAAAGAGGAGGAGCCTGAGAAAGCTAATAGTGAGATTAAGCAGAGAGTTCCTCTCCGACGCTTCAAACCCGCAAACAAGTTTCAGTACCAGCACTGGAGGTATTTCGATCCATTTTATCTCTACACGGACGATACCCTAGAGCCTTATGTATCAGTCAAGGCGTTCAAGTATTATTCTCTGGAGCTGAAGAGAGCCATTCAAGAGGCAGTTCATGTTGTGAATAAGAGGCATCATCCAGTACGCGTGAAATTTAAGCGTCTTCATAATGGGTATGTACGACACGACCCTCTACAAGGCAACGAGTATATTATCGATGCCACATTCATGGAGAGAAGACGAGGGAGACGGATGTTTAACGAAAGAGTGAGAATACTGAGACCCCTGGCTTCTAATTTCATATTGCAGTCCTCGAAAAACGATAAAGACGAGAAAGTTCACATCGTGGTACCTATTTCTGACGTTACTCATCGCTGCTTTGAGTTCCTTGGGATGTTTGCTAATGTCTCGTTAGCTACAAAAGAAGCAACTCACCTTGTTTTGGTTGTCTTCGGCGACAAAGACCTCATAGAGATAGAGGAGAAAGTCGACATGTATAAAAAGACCTATGCCGAAGCCGAAATTAGCATTGTGAAAGGTGTGGGGACTTTTTCACGTGCAAAGGCTCTTGATCAAGGCATGAAATCACTTGAGAGTGGAGATTTGACTTTCTTCTGTGACGTCGACATGACGATCGAGCGACCATTCTTGGATCGCTGCCGCCGGAACACCGTCGAAGGCCGAATGGTGTATTACCCAGAAGTTTTCAAACTTTATAATCCGAAATTCGTACCAGTCAACAATAGAAAAATATCCCGTAAGCAGGGCCATTGGGTCAACTATGGATACGGAATGCTCTGTATTTACAAGTCGGATTATGACGCCATTGGAGGTCTGAACACAGAGATGCTTGGATGGGGAGGCGAAGACGTTGATTTCTTTGAAAAAGTTCTAAAAAGCAAATTAGAAGTGTTGCAGAGTCCAGACACAGGGCTTATACATCGATGGCATCCTAATGTGTGTGCTCAGGATACTACGAATAAGTACAATCGAGAGTCTTGTATCAAGTCGAGAGCAGAAGCTTTAGGGGATAAGACTGAGCTTGCTAGGTATATTTATGACATTATGGAGAAGCATCCTGAGTTGACTTAGCATCTTTTAGCATTGGTCTTTTTAATTTTAACTTTATTTCTTTCCTTGCCTGCACTCCCCCCTCTCTCTCTCTCTCTCTCTCTCTCTCTCTCTCTCTCTCTCTCTCTCTCTCTCTCTCTCTCTCTCTCTCTCTCTCTCTCTCTCTCTCTCTCTCTCTCTCTCTCTCTCTCTCTCTCTCTCTCTCTCTCTCTCTCCCTCTTTCAATTAACAAAATCTTAATTATTAATGTCTGTCTGCCTACGTAACAGCTGTCACTGAACAAAAGCTATACTAATTCAATAGCCAGTGTTCATATTAAGTTTCGTGAGTGCATCTGTGTGTGCTTGAACATGTTGTACAAGTCTTAATTGCATATAGGAGAGTTACCACTGGCCATGAATATCATTAATCCTACTCCAGAGTGAGAGGAGTGAGAAAAGTACAGTGCACGTGTTCATGTAGACCTTGATTATATTACTATATATTACTATTGTTTATAAGGATTGTTTTAAATTGATATAAGACACCAGTGATAAAGCCATGTCATGTGTACACTGGCAGATATCCCTTGTTTGATAGTGCCTATCTGTAACTGATTACAACTCTCAGTTATAGTATAGGGTACTATTCTCAAACACTTTCTCTTTCATACATGTGCATGCCAGTTTTATCATTAATGGTATTATCATTATTTTGAAAATGAAGAAATTGAATGCCTTTCCCCTTATATTTATTGCGTTGATGATTATGTCAACAGTGTGGTCACATGTATAAAATGTACTTTAATGATATCACAATTATTATTATTATTCTTTATTTACTTTTTCAATTCCTCCTTCCTACTCTCTCTCTCTCTCTCTTTGTCTCTCTCTGTCTCTCTCTGTCTCTCTCTCTCCCCCCTCTCTCCCTCTCTTTCCCTCTCTCTCTCTCTCTCTGTCTCTCTCTCTCCTCTCTCCTTCTCTCTTTACAGGAAAACAATGATCACGTACCTCAATTATTGCATAGAAACCATTTCCCCAGACTATCAACACCCCATGACGACTCCATCAAATATAATTACCAAACTCTTCATCGCACGTCTGTATTTGTTTCCATTATACCATCGAACCTTACTCATCTCGAAAACGTCTTCTCTATATACAACACGTGGGCGAGCACGGTCACCAACATGGCTGTTTTCCTTTCTAATAATACTAATAATTCACAGCTGTATACCGACCGTAGCTTTGTGACGGAGCTAAGGCCAGAGACCTACTATCCAAGTTTAAACGAAATCGTCCACGTCCTTCATCATCTTTATGAGAACTATGCAAGGAATTATGAATATTTTCTCATTATTTCTGATAACGCCTACGTTAATATGTACTCATTCGAAGATGTCATACACAAGTTAGCTCAAGAAAACGAGGAGCTTATCTATGCTGGGTTCTCAAAGAGTTTCGGTCTCCACGAGTTTTGTGGGGCTGATTCCGGTGTCCTTATTAGCGTTCAAACGTTGAGTAAAGTCATTGAGAATATTAATAATTGTATTGGCTGGAGCAAGAGATATTATTGGGATGTTATGCTTGGGCAGTGCCTTAGGAAAACACTGGGAATAAAGTGTTTGAATATTAGTCGGGTAAGGAATGTGGGGAGAGAGAGAGGGAGGGAGAAAGAGAGAGGGGAGAGAGAGAGAGAGGGAGAGATGGGGGAGAGAGAGAGAGGGAGAGAGTATAATGTTATTGATTTTGGAATGAGTAAGATAAGATAATAAAGTGAACATGTTTGTGTTAAGTATCGTAGTATTTGTTTCATGTCAATATCTATCGAGTGTAAATTTTTAAGCCAAAGGCGTGGTACATGTACATGTATTTAGAATTTCGCTGTAGGACTGTACAAGCGTATAATATACATGTACATGTAGTACCATACGTTTAATTCAATTCATCAAGCATGTGTAATAATTTTCTTTACATGTACATGTACATGTACAGATGTATGAATCATGAGACCATTTATGCAGATGTGTGTGTATTGCAATTCCTTATAAATGTACATGTGCATGTACAGACCTTGCTCCTAGCCATAACGCAACCGATCACTGGAAGACAAGACATCCTGGTACAGTCTAACAATAAACTTAAGCTACAAAAGGATGTAATGTGTACATGTACTGTACATGTATGTTGTAAGAGTAGTCGTAGTATTCTTGTAATGTGTGGCAAATAGTCTCATTCTTCTGCCAATTCCCCCAAAAATTTTAATGTAATAACTTCTTTGATGTTGTGTACTGGCGTGAATTGAGCCTTTATTATTATTATTATTATTATTATTATTATTATTATTATTATTATTAGTATATATTTTTACACTCTTTCTTTCCCTTCTTTTTTCTCTAGTATTTTTTAAACGATGATCAGCATCAATCTTTATCCCCAGCCGTCTTATGGTCTTCTAATAACTCAATCTATTCCTCTGCCTTCTCAGTATCGCCAGTCACCACTTATGACCACATGAACTTGCTCCATTACTATTACAACTCCCTACAGATGAAGAGATACCTCGCTAAAGCAGAATCACTTCGTAAGATAGTGCATTACACGTGCGAAGAGCTCTCTCATTTTGCTTTCGATCATCAAACCGTCACTAAAGACTGTGAGAATATAGCTCGGGATATCTCGAAACCTTTGTATGAGAGATACCGTAAGAAACAGACTCAGAAATGGCGCCGTTACGACATGATGCCTTCGTGGGATTATTTCGACGCCGAGAATATATACGCTGGTCATAAAACCGAGCCTTCTGTTCAAATATCGGACGACAGGGTCGCTTCCACGGACATTGAGATGGTGACTTCGGTAGCAGAAACTGTTGTACAAGAGAAATATCAACTACCTGATCTAAAACTCACCGCCGTAATAAACGGCTACATGAGACAGAACGTCTTAAAAGGGAGCGAGTACATACTTGACGCTCAATTTGGTAACTCTAAATTAATTGTTAACGATCGGGTCAGATTGTTGCAGCCATTTTTACCAAACGTAACCGCACAAGTTGATAAAGATGATTTGAGTGAGGTCGTGAATGTCATTGTACCGATATCTAATTCAAACGGGAAATGTATCAAATTTATTCAAACTTATCTCAAGAAATCCCTCAAAAACTCGATACACCTTATTCTAATTGTTTACAAGAAGACGGACTTTGAGAAGATGAGGGAGAAAGTGAATAAAATCACGACCAAATACAAGAGAGCGTCCATCACTGTCGTGAAAGGCAAAGGACGTTTCTCGCGTGCTAAAGCTCTCCACCAAGGCATATCAACCCTCAAACGCTCTGATCTAGCCTTCTTCTGTGACGTTGACTTAAATATAGAGTCCCATTTCTACGATCGTTGTCGGAGAAACACAATACAGGGTTCCCAAGTTTACTTACCTTCCGTCGTCAAGCTTTATAACCCAAAGCTTTACACCAAAGTTCACCACTCGTCGAATCTACCACTAAACAGGCAAACGGGACATTGGGGCAGCTATAACTACGGAATGCTCTGTATTTATAAATCCGACTATCTCTACGTCGGGGGGCTCAATATTAGAATGAGGGGGTGGGGCGGGGAAGATTTAGACTTTTTACAACGTTTAAAAAGCAAAGGTCTAGTCCTGTTTAGGGCACCTGATAAAGGTCTCATTCATCATTGGCATGAAAGGGATTGCTCTACTAGGAGTGTTCGAAGACATATGAAGTCGCACTGTGAATCAAATAAAATTGAAGCTCTAGGCGATAGAAGAACATTAGCCAGATATATATTTAATTTAACTGAGACTAAACCTTCGTTGTTACTATGACGTTTATGAATCATTTCGAATAATTATTATTATATCGTTATATTAATTATTATTATTATTTTAATGTGATAAAAATTGAATTTACAAAAAAATAATTAAAAAGCCTTAAAAAGGTAATTATTTTTCTTTGGGCGTGGTTCTAAATCAGGCCATTTCTAATTATACGGAAAAAGTAAAATTAAACAGTAACTTATACTTATTTTGAGTATTTTTTCATTAATGTACCATCTCGCCTCGACGCCTCCTCCTCTTTCTTTCTGAATAGCTCTGAGTCCAACAAACTACAACAATCATTCTACGTATATAACGAACCAGCTTCTATTCCACCTCCTTCTCTTAAGCCCGGTCGTTGCTAGCGACTGTCAACCAAGACGCTATGTTCGGCCGACTCTTTCGTGGTAGACTCATCTTCCTATTATTTGGGATTGGGATTGGTGCTTTCCTCGGTTCTTCCATCACCTACACGCTATCTGCAGCTTGCAATGAGTTGAGGCCATACCATAAAAGAGACATGTTTGGAACTGAAACTAGAATTATTGATGTAAGGAGCTTGTGTGCCCAAACTGTGTGTGTGTTGTGTATTGGATTTTTTGAGGGTATCAAGTTAGTGTTATTACTACTTTTGCCAAGGAAAATGTTAAACTGGATTCTCTTTTTGAGTAGTGTTTAACATTCCTAATTAATGGGGATTCATTTTTAAACTTGTACTGTACAGGATCTGCAATATGTAGTGTTTTATTAGGGTCAGGCCCTGCGTGACTATAGTATTTTATTTTGATGTAATGTCAACTCAAAATTGTATTAGGAAGGACATAATAAACTGTATATATATATGTATGATCTCTCTCCCTCTCTCTCTCTCCCCCTCTCTCTCTCTCTCTCTCTCTCTCTCTCTCTCTCCCCCCCCTCTCTCTCTTTCTCAGATGAAAGATATATTGAATAAAACAGAAAAGCGGCAAGACTTCCCTGCCCACCCCTCAGCCCTCCCTTCCTCTGGCTCCTCCTCCTCCTTTCCCTCCTCTACTATTGAGAACTCACTAACAATAGCCCTCCTACCATCAGAAGACAGCACACCTGATTCAATCAGCGCGGCTGCAAACACTTGGGGTCGAATTGTCTCCCAGCTGGTAATATTCGTTGACGATAGTACCGAGACTTTATCAGTTCCGCCTGGCGTGATGGTAAACCGCCAGTTTAAATTACCGAAATTGAATAATCATCCAACCACGCTTGAGATGCTACAGATATTACGCTATCTTCACGAGAGCGTCTACAATGCCTCAGAGTGGTTCTTACTCGCTTCCGATAAGGTTTACATAAACTATTACTCGTTTCAGAACTTTCTAGACTCTCTACCTCCCGAGGCTTCTTACGTTGGGGCTTCTTCGCTCGAAATATCGGACGCTTTTACGTATTGTTCGAAAAAAGGAGGCGTGCTACTAAGCAAGAAAGCTTTAAAGAAGTTAATAACGTCATATGAAGAGTGCATTAAGTGGGCTCCAGCAATCTACTCGTGGGACAAGGGCCTTGGAAAATGTTATGCTGAAGTTATGACAGGTGGCTGCCATCCAGGACTAGAGACAGTAAGTATAGCAGTACTATTGCTCTATTGCTGTAGTAATAGTTGTAATAATGATGATTAGGATTGTATCAGTAGTATTTTAAGAGTCTACAGTATCCTTCCTAGAATTGGCACTGTACATGTAGTTTTTCTACTCTAGTATCAGACAATGTTTAGAGATACAAATCTTGTCCTAATGTGTTTCTGTAACTCAATATTATATTATAATAATTTAGTGATGAAGTTGGGTTTAATTAGAACCTTTTAAATTGCCTAAGATAGGAACAGACTAAATGTGCCTATTCTCATTCTCACTACCAGTGTAAATGTATAAATTAACACCAAGCAATTCTATTGCTTCCAGTCTGTTTTATAACTTTGATATTGTAAGCAGTGTTCTACCTAGAATAGAACAAGTTTCTATTCTAGGCAACAGTGTTGCTTGAAGATCAAAGTAGGCACAGATTCCCTGCTATAGCATTGTCTGGTGTATGGTGGCCTTAAAGTGGATCTTGCTCTACTTGACCATGACATAAATGTTTTCTTTTGTACAAAGTTATATTTGTTTCTATCTTCATATTTCCTGTTCTGGCATTGTTTCATTGTTGTAGTGAGGTTAACCACAGGATTAACATAACCTGCATGGTGTCGTTGCTCAATATGGGGAAGTCTTTTTTTGTTCTTGTTCTTATTGTAATGTAATCATGAAAATGGGATTAATCCATCTCCAGTTGTTGAACTGAAGTGCAATCACATCATACATATACATGTACTATCTTAATACATTATCTTAATACTTACCTGTCCTTAATACATGTACAGTGTAGCCTCTTTATTAAGGACACCATTGGGCCCACACTACCTGTCCTTAATACATGTACAGTGTAGCCTCTTTATTAAGGACACCATTGGGCCCACACTACCTGTCCTTAATACAGAGGTGTCCTCATTTTAGAGGTACTTTTGTATAGGCTTGTACCAATTGGGACATTACAAAATGTCCTCATTATAAAGGTGTCCTCATTATAAAGGTGTCTTCATTATAAAAGTGTCCTCATTATAAAAGTGTCCTCATTATAAAAGTGTCCTCATTATAAAAGTGTCCTCATTATAAAAGTGTCCTCATTATAAAAGTGTCCTCATTATAAAGGTGTCCTCATTATAAAGGTGTCCTCATTATAAAAGTGTCCTTATTATAAAAGTGTCCTCATTATAAAAGTGTCCTCATTATAAAGTGTACTAATCTTGAACAACAGATACATGTACGGTGCATGTATATTTTTATAATTTCATTATTTTTTGTGTTGCTATAACATAGTCTTTGTAATTCTATTAAGCACTCATCATTGGATGCTGTGAAAATGTATCTCCATATACATGTACATATTACTGTACACACACACACACACACAGCAATGGATACTATGAACTCCTAATATGCAGTACATGTGCCATAAATTTTGTGGTTCACATTTTTGGCTTAAATTACATGTACTATTAAGTTTTGTTATGTATAACAATTGGATTTTATTAACATACCAATGTACTGTTACATGTAGAATTACCAGTGTTAAGAGAAACTCCTACTGGTGTTGTAACACAACTCCTCTCTCATATTTGTTTGGTGTAGATCAAATGAAGTTCATGCAATTACTATACTGTTACATGCTTTCATCTAGCAGTTCTATGTACACATGTTGATGGGGTCCTAATTATTGTTAAGACTAGCAAGTGCTTTGCTCCATTTCTATATTAAATTCTCTGGATTACTGGCATTGTATTGATGTCCTTTGATGTCCTTATGTTGTTGCATGGGCTGAAACTTATTATTCAGTTTTTGAGCTACGGCCATTTTAAGAAATTGGCCTAAATCTGAAAAATACCCAAGGCTATAGCCCATGGTTTTTTCCAAAAATGGCTCCGAAATCACCCCCAATTTTTATTACATTTTCTGATACATATTGATGTATTTATGCTGTGTAGAAAGTTTGAGTTGATTCTGACTTTAATTTTTTGAGTTACGGCCATTTTAAAAAATGAGCTAAAATCTAAAAAATACCCAAGGCTATAGCCCATGGTTTTTTTCCAAAAAATGGCTCTGAAATCACCCCCAATTTTTATTACATTTTCTGATACATATTGATGTACTTATGCTATCTAGAAAGTTTGAGCTGATTCCGACTTCAAATTTTTGAGTTACGGCCATTTAAAAAAATGAGGTAAAATCTAAAAAATACCCAAGGCTATAGCCCATGGTTTTTTCCAAAAAATGGCTCCGAAATCACCCCCAATTTTTATTACATTTTCTGATACATATTGATGTACTTATGCTAC